GTTTTGAAGATCTTGATTAAGTAGGCGCCTAGTAAAACAGTCGTCCTGGCAGGTCAGAAGTTGCAAAGTGTCAGAGCTTAAGTTCAAGGGTCCGAGAGTTCTCTTGAAAAAGTTCGCAAATGTGAACAAAAGACTTGGTCAAAATATGAGCGGGAAAAATGCTCGGCCCGTCATAGGACGACACCTGTAGCAGGCCGTCGCCTGTTACAGGCCGTCGCCTGTCACAGGTGACATGTGAACAGTCATGTGCCACTTGTGAGGGGCAAATGATTAGGGGATTTTTCCCTACCAATCACCGTCTGACAAATGGACCAACCAGGTTATGCCATGTGTCCGCCACGTGGGCCAATAGGAGCCTGCCATGTCTCAGGCGTTGATCTGTCCACCATGGACCAGTTGTGTCACAACACGTGTCCTCCCCCCATGCCAAATGGGAAAACCGGCCACTTAGGCCCAAAAGACTTGTGGAAGCCCAATCAGTCCTAGGTTGACCTAAACCTAGGACTGGCACGCATCCCAAGGCATATAAATACCTTCATTAATCCTCATTAAAGGGGATTAAGCAAATTAATTACTCTCACCTAGAGAAAACCTTTACCTTTTTCCGCATTTATTACTCCTAAACAAGTACTAACTTGACCGTCGGAGGCGGAGCTCCCACCACCCGGAGTCTCCGTTGTTTTGCAGGTACAGGCGCACGGTCCCAGTCCCGGAATTGTAACTCTCCCGCAGGACATCAGAAACCCCGAAACAGAGAGGATGTTTAATTAAACTAAATGTTTAATTTGGTTTAGAATATGAAAAGGGAATTTTGTTATGCTTCATATAATTTTATTGATGCTTTAAGCATGGGAATTGAGCTATTTAAGTGTCTTAGTACACAGGAATAAATTATATTGCGGTGCCTGTGCACTTAAGGTGTTTCTAACACCGAGGGATAGGATTTGCGGCGCATTATGCGTTTAAGGTGTCTTTGACACCGAGGTAGATTAAAAAGAGTTCAACATTAAATTTAGGTGGTCACTAATTATTCAAGAATTAAATTGGTATGTTTGATTGCTTGAATGAATTATAATGTTTGATTGTGTTATGGTTGAGAGTCATCACCAAGTCTAATAATATGTAAATAACGTAAAGTGAAAGAGATTACACACCAAAACTCTTGGAACGTATACACCTCGAATATGAACATATGAGGGGAGTTATGCGACTTTATATTTGACCATAACTTCTACTGGGAGTACAGGACGCTGTATTTTCCTTTTTATTTATTTATGCGCATGACGTCCAGTCACTTCATGTGACATTTTCCTACCCGGTTAGCTTCTGGTGTAGTTTACCTCAATTTATTTGGGGCAGGGATTTGGTGAGAAACTCGTTCGATGCGTAATCAAATTAAATAAGTAATTAATTTATTTATTGGTTGGTTGTTTGGTATGTTGTATGCTTGTAAACAGGTGCAACAAGGTAAGTTGTGTGATGATAGGATGAAAGCATGTTAGTGTGTTTTCTTACGCTTATGTACTCAGCATTGCTGATTGTGTGTTTATAGTTTGGCCTTGTCTTTACCTTGGCCCTACGACGACCCATTTCTAATGGCGAGTAGTGGGGACAAGTAGAGAGAAGCTTTTCAGGTGATGAAGCATTTTCATGATGGGCATGAGTGAAGAGCGAATCATGCTTAGTTTCCAAAGGAATATGATGTGTTTTATTTGCTTTGATATTATTTATTTTATTATGCTCATGAGACTAACATAAACGTTTTCAGTATTGTTTGGTTTTAAGGCCCATGATGGTTGATGATTTGCCGGAGGCTACACAACGTATATATTTCATTGGAGGGTTGCAACGATGGGCTCAACAAGAGGTAGAAAGGAGGAACGTTCAAACACTTGCTGAGGCCATCGCAGCTGCAGAGTCCTTGGTTGATTACAAGGACACAAGGAAGGAAGGGCGCAGCAACGGCAGCAAGGGAAAAGGTGGGGGAGCCAAGCCCACCGATCGAAGCAGCACCAGTAGCAACAAGACGGTGAAATAGGACAAGGCAAAGGGATCATCGTCGTCTTCTTCATCATCTGACAAGCCCAGCAACAGGGGATGTTACTTGTGCGGAGGGCCGCACTGGGCAAGGGATTGCCCTGGGAGACAGAAGCTCAGCGCCATCATAGCTTCGGGCGGTGAATCGTCGGGGGACGATGCACAAATGGGGTCGTTGCGCCTCTTTAGTAGCGTACGGGCCACACTAAAAGCTGAGGAGAGCACCAAAGTGGTCAAGGTAAGCACGTTACCTCGCCCGAAGGGCTAACTTATGTTTGTTGATACATTAGTGAATGGGAGAGCTTCTAAGGCACTCGTGGATTGTGGTGCCTCACACAACTTCATTACGGAGAAGGAAGCAATGAAGTTGGGAATCAAGTACACCAAGGAACCGGGGAGGATCAAGACGGTCAACACCTCGCCCGTTCCTATCCTTGGTGTGGCGCATAAGGTGCCTATTTGTCTGGGACAATGGAGTGGCACCATAAATCTCACAGTCGTGCATATGGACGACTTCTCTTTGGTGTTGGGACTTGAGTTCATCAACACAGTAAGGCCCTTTTCTTTTGAAGCGGACGGGTCAATTATGATCAAAAGGGATCAAGGGTCATGGTCCGTTCCTGTCACACGAGAAGAAGTTGAAGCCAAGACAATCTCTGCAATCCAGGTGTCCAGGGGGATCAAAAAGGGACAAGAGACTTTCTTGGCTGCATTAGTGGAGGAAGAGGAGCCCCATGGGAATGAGGTTCCATCAGATTTCTCCGGAGTCCTTGTAGAGTATAAGGATGTGATGCCTCCGGAGCTACCAAAGAGACTACCTCCTAGAAGGGAGGTGGATCACAAGATTGAGCTGGAGCCAGGGACCAAGCCTCCAGCCATGGCACCATACCGCATGGCCCCATCAAAGCTCGAGGAATTGAGGAAGCAATTGAAGGAGCTGCTGGAAGCAGGGTTCATTAGGCCCTCAAAGGCACCATTTGGAGCACCAGTACTATTTCAACGCAAGCATGATGGCAGTTTGCGAATGTGCATTGACTATCGGGCTCTCAACAAGATCACTGTCAAGAACAAGTATCCAATCCCGTTAGTCGCCGATTTGTTCGATCGACTCGGCAAAGCACGGTACTTCTCCAAGTTGGACCTGCGATCGGGGTATTGGCAGGTGCGCATCGCCGAAGGGGACGAGGCGAAGACGACTTGCGTGACCAGGTATGGTTCTTATGAGTTCTTGGTGATGCCTTTTGGACTCACCAACGCCCCTGCTACTTTTTGCACCTTAATGAATAAGATTTTTCGGCCTTTCCTTGATAAATTTGTAGTCGTCTATCTCGACGATATCGTCGTGTATAGCGACAACTTACAAGATCATGTGGAGCATTTGAGACAGGTGTTCCAGGTCTTACGAGAGAACGAGCTTTATGTGAAGCAAGAGAAGTGCTCGTTCGGACAGGAGGAGGTGTCATTCCTGGGACACCATATTAGAGCCGGAAAGATAATGATGGAGCATGACAAGGTGCAAGCCATCAGGGAATGGGAGGAGCCCAAGAACGTGTCGGAACTACGTTCTTTCCTTGGGCTCGCCAACTATTACAGGCGGTTTATCATGAGCTACTCAGCACGGGCGGCGCCATTGACTAACCTGTTAAAGAAGAAGGCACAATGGTGTTGGAGCGACAAATGTCAAGAGGCCTTTGATGACTTGAAAGATGCCGTCACCAAAGAGCCCGTATTAGCACTGCCCGACTACTCAAAGCCATTCGAGCTACACACTGATGCCTCAGATTTTGCTATCGGAGGAGTTCTCATGCAAGAAGGGCATCCAGTGGCCTATGAGTCCCGTAAGCTCAATGACACTGAGAGGAGATACCCAGTGCATGATAAGGAGATGACAGCTATCATTCATTGCTTGTGTCTGGAGACATTATTTGCTTGGGAGTCGGTTCACCATCTATACCGACAATGTTACAACAAGTTACTTCCAAAATCAAAAGAAGCTTAGCCCCAAGAAAGCTCGATGGCAAGACTTTCTAGCTGATTTTGACTACGCTATGGAGTACAAGCCAGGGAAGGTGAATGTAGTTGCTGATGCTCTAAGCCGCAAGGCAATCTTTGCTAGCGTGAGTAGCATAGCTAGCACCCTCCTTGATCGAGTCAAGGACGGTTTAAAGGAGGATTCTATGGCCAAGAGTTTGATGGACTTGGCTAACGAGGGAAAGACCCGACGCTTCTGGATAGAGGATGGGATACTCTACACCGTCGTACGTCGCACCTATGTGCCTAAGTGGGACAACCTTAGGCGTGACATCATGAAGGAGTGTCATGATTCATTATGGGCTGGTCACCCTGGGATACAGCGGACAATGGCACTCTTGGAGGAGGTATACTACTGGCCTCACATGCGGGACGATATAGAGACCTATGTGAAGACTTGTCTTGTGTGCCAACAAGACAAGGTAGAGCAACGTGTGCCAGCAGGACTCTTGGAGCCCTTGCCTATACCAGAGAGGCCATGGGAAAGCGTCTCAATGGATTTCATATCTGCCTTGCCCAAGTCAGAGGGGTTTGGCTCTATCATGGTGGTAGTTGATCGCTTTTCCAAGTATGGGACTTTTATACCGGCACATAAGGATTGCACAGGGGAGCAAGCCGCCAAGTTATTCTTCAAGAATGTGGTCAAGTACTGGGGCTTGCCAAAGAGCATCGTCAGCGACCGTGATCCAACGTTCACCGCCAAATTTTGGACGGAGCTTTTCAAGTTGCTAGGGTCAGGTCTACATTTCTCCACAAGCTTCCACCCGCAGACGGATGGGAAGACAGAGCGAGTGAACGCTTTATTGGAGCTCTATTTGAGGCATTTTGTGAGTGCCAATCAATGAGTTTGGGCAAAGCTCATAGACATTGCCCAATTCTCCTTTAATCTGCAGCGGTCCGAGGCAACCCAGCAAAGCCCCTTTGAGATAATCATGGGTCAACAACCCTTGACTCCACAAGCAGTTGTATCGGGCTACACGGGTAGCAGTCCCGCTGCCTACAGATTAGCTAAGGGATGGCACGAGCAGCTCGACATCACCAAGGCTTACTTGAATAAGGCCGCTAATAAGATGAAGAAGTGGGCCGACAAAAACAGGCGCCCATTGGAGTTTCAAGAAGGCGACCTAGTCATGGTGAAGCTCTTGCCGCACCAATTCAAAGTCTTCCGCAAGGTGCATAAGGGGCTAGTGCGGAAGTATGAAGGGCCATTCCCGATCATTAGGAAGGTCGGGAAAGTTTCCTATAATCTTGAGCTACCTCCCAAGCTGAAAATACATCCGGTGTTCCATGTTAGCATGTTGAAGCCTTACCATGCCGATCTCGAGGATCAGACCAGGGGAAAATCACAACGGGCACCTACGGCCGTGGTAGCATCGTTTGAAAGGGACATTGAGAGCATCGAGACAAAGAGAGTCATAAGGCGTCGAGGTGTGCCAAGCTACAATGAATACTTTGTTCGTTGGAAGGGTCTCCCGGACAGCGAGGCCTCGTGGGAAAAAGAAGAAGATTTGTGGCAATTTGCGGACAAGATCGAGGCGTTCGAGTCGGGATCTTGACGAGGGCGTCAAGACTTAGGTGGGGGAGCATGTCACGACCCACACATTCCACCCCTCACTAGGGCCATTGGACGGTAGGCAACAATCGTGGCTAGGGGGAATGCCCTTGGTGCGCGCTGGCTAGGCCAGAGACACCCTCCCCCTATAGAGCTTTATATTGCTCCAGTGCTGTCACCCTAGTGAACACCCAAGTGACAGTAACACAATAATGGGCTATTTGGGGACCCAAATGAAGTCCGATTGAGCCCAAATTTGGGGGTCCACCATTTTTAGGCCCAATGAACATCATGGTGGTGTTAGATTTTGAAGGAGAATTCCGGAAGGTTCCAGAATACTCAAGGAGACTCGAAATGCATCCGGAAGCTTCTAGAACCTCCTAGGACATCCTTGAATCATCTGTAAATTCTAGAGTTGTGTAGATAATTCTAGAGCCTTGTACATAGAGGGAATGTACTAAAGAAATGTATAGAATACTCTAGAAAGGATTAGATCTAGAACCCTCCATTTGAGGAGGTTAGTGAAGGTTCTAGGCCATGCTTAGAACACTATAAATAGGGGACTTGGCCTTCATTTGGAGGGATCTCAGAAAATACTTGTAAACACTCTCTCTCAAGCAATCAAAGCATTCAAAATATTTATATCCTCTTGTGTTCTCAATATTCCTTAACTTTCGTTGCACACTCTTGCTTGAAGCATTTCGGGGTTAAGCCTTGACTAGCATCCGAGGGAGGGAAGTTAGTAGGCTAGCATGCATAAGACTAGGGGGATTAGTCAGCACGTGACAATCAGCTATCTAATGCAGGACTGAGGGCAGAATACTGGTCTAGCAGTAACCTACAGCTTAAAGAACCAGAACTTACTGTTGGTCCTGAAGGTTGTGCTGCATTTCTACCAGATGATGCCCAAATAGATGTGCATAGTGCAGTTGCTCTAATTGAAAAGGTTTATTTTTAAAAAATACACACTTATGTTTCTAGTCAATCTAGCTTTCAATTTGCCTACTAATTTGGTATGATTTCATTAGGACAACATACACTTCATACCACATAATAGATATGCCGAGTTTTATAATGATCCAGCTGTATGTTTGATGAGGTGAGAGTTTTTCTTCTCGAAAATACATATTGTATTTTAATTCTAGGGACATTATAAAGATGGCATGATACTGTCACACTGATCATCTTTATGCAGATATAGCAAGGATGGAAAGGTTGATGCTGTTAAGACTAATAACAATAAAATTTTACATGCCAAGGAAGCTGTTGTTATTGCAGCTGGTTCTTGGACTGGATCATTGATGCACAATTTAGCTAGAGATCTTGATGTCACGATTAACGTTCCAGTACAGCCTAGGAAGGTAAAATCACTATAAGCTTATCAACGGAGTAAAATGCTTAGCCTAGAGATGAGCGCCTTTTTGCTTTGTTGGTTTTTTGCAGGGTTATCTACTTGTTTTTGAGAATATTAAGTCTAATCTTAGACTCAATCATGCAACTATGGAAGCTGGCTATGTTAATTATCAAAGAACATCAACTGAAAATAGCAGCAAATCAACTGATATTTCAATGACAGCAACGATTGATGCAAAGGGAAATCTTCTTGTCGGTATAAAATTACTCAATATGTACTCCATGATATATACTTCCTCTATGAAATGTGTACACTATTGAAATGTCAAGTACATGCCAATGAACTGTAATCGTTAATAGACATGTTCGATCTCTTACTGTCATCTGATATCCTATGCTAATATACATGTTTTAGGGAGTAACAGACAGTTTGTTGGATTTAATGGAGACCTGGACATGCATATTGTTGAGCAGATATGGAAGCGCACTCAAGAGTTTTTCCCTGCTTTGAGAAACATCTCCCTTGAAAGTTTAAGTCAAGAAATGAAAGTTAGAACAGGGTTTCGCCCTTACAGTAAGTTCCTAACTATAAAGAACAAAAAGACTCACTCCGTCCCTAGATAATAGGCCACATATATGAGTTCCTAGCGAGCTTAATATAACAATCCTTATTATTATGAGAGGAAACAAATTACTCAATTAGAAGCGTGTGGCCTATTAAACAGGAATGGAACGAGTTACAGTTTATATAGTTTTCAGTAACTTCTGTTTTATACTCCATATATAACAAGTGCTTATATCATATTAATGCTATGACATATGAATGAAGTGCCTGATGGAAAGCCGGTCATTGGGCCTATTCCTTCCATGCCGAATGTATACCTTGCAACCGGACATGAAGGTGGAGGAATCAGCATGGTAAATTACTGTTTTTTCAGCAGAATTATGGAAACTGAAAAATACATCAGATTATGTAAATTTTGGTAGATAAATTGACTTATTTTATGTTATGTTCAGGCTCTTGGGACAGCTGAACTGATTGCAGATATGGTATTGGGAAATTCCTTGAAACTTGATCCAACGCCTTTTGCTGCGGAAGGTCGATGCTGTTGAAAAAAAATTTCGCTTCGTATCCAAAATCCAAGAATGTTCTTGATTTTGCACGAAAATGAGCTGATTATGTTGGGATCTTTCTCATAAAATTTTGTTGTTTAAAGGGCATGTATCAGTATAACAGTTTTGAGAATTTGCTCCTGATGTATTATTATGTGATTGCATTGTGATTTCTGTCAAGAATCATATACTTCTCTTATTTTCATCGGGCCTTGTTCTATTCAATTAATTTGATATGTGATTGCATTGTGATTTTTGTCAAGAATCATATACTTCTCTTATTTTCATCGAGCCTTGTTCTCTTCAATTAATTTTGGTTAAATTTAACGAAGCATCACTAATTAAAATTACATTACAAAGGTGAGGTTTAAACGCCGAACCTCATTAAATGAAGATCACACTTATACCAACTTAGCTAGAAATAAATAATGTTATACCTATCACGTAAAAATACAAGTACATATTAAAATGTAGAATAAAAGGAAAAAATCTAATATAATTTATTGTTATCATTATATTACGGAGTGTACTTTACTCACTCAAAAAAAATAAAAAAAAAGTCGCACTCCTAGTAACATCCAGGTCACGTACTAGTTCCTAATTAATGAATTAACGACAAGTATGATACGCATGATGCTCTTGCGTGTTAAAAAGCAAACGACGCCGTAAAACAACCATTTTACAAGTTTACAACAACTCCGATTCGCCCAATACGCTCTTTGCTCCTGACTGAGGAGAGATACTGAACACCTAACTGGTGGAAATTCATTCACTTCTAGGGTAAATTTCCCCTCCATTTTTTCGCCTTTTGGATTAATTTCTGCAATTCTTTTGCTTCGATTTATTCTCGCAATTTTATGATTTTAGTTATTCTTTGTAATTTCTCCATTTTCATTGTATTTTGTAATTTCTGCGATATTGAACATGGAAATTTTGGGAATTTTATGATAGGTTTTCCAGATTATTCTTTGTTATCGTTTTTTGTTTGATTCTCGTTAATTTTTTTTGTTTGTAACGTAGATGAATTGTACCATGTTTGTTAATTCTTTTCTTTGTCGATTTTTTTTGTGATCAAATTATGTCGTTCAATTTTAATAAAATGCAATTTTAACATGGGAATTCTTATTATGTACGGGTGATTTCCAGGTAAATTAACCCTTTTAAGTCATTGTATAAACCCTAATTTCTTGTACTTTAAGTCGATTCCCTTATTTACAACCAGTTCTGATTTTGTATTGTTTTCATGGAAAATTTTTAATCATTATCATGCTAGTTTTAATGTTGCTGATGATTTCTAAGCTCCGATTGGATCATAGAATTTTTAATAAAAAAGGGTGCTTTACTCCATTCGTATGATCGTATCTTGCCAGCTTAAATTGGGTGGTTTATTTTGTTGGCATTTGTTTAGTTGATCTATTTCTTTTAGAGGGAAAAGGCTTAAATTCATAGTAAATTTAGTAGGCTACAGTTAGTGGAAAATACTGATAGATTGTTGGTTATCCCTTTTCCTGATCATCACATCACCTACGCACAGTAATACAGTATTGTGCTTCAGGATCTCCAAAACATGTGTGATTTTCAAACCTCTTCAGGAACCAAGGGAAAAATGCAGCAGTCGAGCCTAAATGTAACATAACCCCTTGGACGCTTTATTTCAGTTCTGAACCCTGCAGTAATTGGCTGTGTGTGCATCAGATAGTTCCTTAATTTATGCAATTTAGTTTTATATAATTGTGTGTAGAAATGGCCAGGCTTGCTTGCTTCTGAGTTCTGACTATGTGCTTTCCTGAAAGACTAACATGTACAATTAATCCCTTCTTTAGTTCTCTTCAAACACTCTGGTTGCCTCTTGCCTGGCAAGCAAAGTGACTTAACACCTTTGTGATATGTAATTGCTACAACTCCCCAAAACTTTATTTTGGTTGCAGGCGCTAGTACATTTACTACATTATGGAGCTGAATAAATTCAAAGGATCTTTTGAGCACGTGGTAAAGAAGCGAAAATTATCATCATCCAAGTGTCATGAAGTGGTTGATACTATCAACCATGAGCTTGAGCATGCTTTATCAAGAGTGCAATCAGATCAAAACCTTACCGTTCCAGAGGATCCTAAATCCATTTTGAGGGATCTGAAGTCCAAGCTTTCTGATTATGGCTCAGAAAAGGAGCTGGAAAACTCACAGAAAGAGCTGAACTTACATCTCAACAAGTCTCAGAAGCTCCTTGAGAAAGTACTGAATCCTGATATATCTAAGGGGAACAGAAAGATTGACTTTGATGTTCAGACAATTAATCAGATTATCATTGATCATCTCTTTTTCAAAGGCCTGTTTGATATTGGAGACTGTTTAAGTAAAGAGGCAGTTGTCCCAGAAGTTAATGTGCTACGATCTCAGTTTTTTGAAATGTCCCAGATTCTGGAGGCTCTTCACAGAGAGAATTTACAACCTGCCTTTAACTGGGTCTCTGCCAACCATGAAAAGCTCAGAGAAAATGGTTCAAGTCTTGAGCTGAAACTTCATCAGGTGCGATATGTGAGAGTTACTGAAGCAGGGAAGCCAAACTGATGCCCTAAAGTATGCCAGAAACAACCTTGCTCCTTTGCTTACTTTGCATATGGATGAGGTTAAAAAGCTCATGGCCTGTATTTTATGGATAGGAAAGCTTGATAAATGTCCTTATTGGGAAAAGTTGGCTATGACTAATTGGGAAGAGTTAGCTGATGCACTATCACAGCAGTTTTGTGTGCTGTTAGGCCGTTCTTGTCGTCCACCATTGGCGGTGGATGTAGAAGCAGGATCTGAAGCATTGCCTATTCTCTTGAAGCTTGTGAATCTGAAAGCTGTGAAACAGGATTGGCAAGGGATGGAGGAGCTTCCATTTCCTGTGGATCTTGGAATGGGTTTTCAATTCCATTCGACATTCATATGCCCAGTGACTAGGGATCAAGGAACTCTAGAAAATCCCCCCATGTTGCTGCCTTGTGGACATGTGCTGTGTCGGCAATCAGTCATGAGTATCTCCTAGAATAACAGCAGGACCTTTAAATGCCCGTGTTGCCCCCTTGATAATATAGCAGTTGCACAATGCAGGCAACTGCATCTACCATGATGATTGTATAGTCCCTTTAGTTACAGTTGTCTCATGCGTAGAGATTCAGAGAACAGATATCTCAGGATTAGAGTATTTGTATTTATCAAATGGTAATTCTCGTTATATAAAGCTAGTAACAGTTCACAGCCCAGTTGGTATGTTTTGAAGTTACATTTCTGATGTACAGTATATTTTTGTCAATGCTTATATTTTGTGTAACTAGTGAAGGAAGTGATATCCCTATGCTTTTTTTTTTTTTTTTTTTTTTTTTTTTTTTTTTTTTTTTTTTTTGACGAGATATCCCTATGCTTGGACACAGTTGAATGAGTTGATGCAACGTGAAAGCCTTTTGAGCCCACACTGTCTGTTGAAATAGACATAATATACGAAGTATAATTCAAAGTTAAATGAGAAGGGTCTGATAAATTCAGAATTGTTAGGGGTTAAACGATTTTAATTTTTCATCAATGCACTTGTTGAAGTTAGTTGTTGAGAATTCAGTGTTAAAAACACACCAACTATTTCACTAGTATGCCGCTAAGCCAGAAAGATTGATCGAGTTTTACCTCATTATCAACCTCCCCCTCCGGCCCTCCCCCTTCACAATAGCCTAAGCCAAAACTAGTTAGGTAAATTAGTTGAATACCCCTCCGATCCCACTAGAATTGCCCGGTTAATCGATTAATCACTTTTGAGAGCTTATTTTGGGTCAAAGACATAGGTCGGAGACTCGGAGGGAGTAGTCGGAGTACCTATCTTTCTTTGAACTTGCTACAATGTAAAGTTTTAACATTAAGTATACTTAGTAGTAAACTTGCTACAATGTAAAGTTAAGTGTAGGCAATATATGAACATAATCCCCACTAATTGAGTTCAACCAAATGGATTGACATTAGCATATTTAATGGAATGTTTCAAACTAAAAAGTATACTCCAATTAAAGCAAATTCTAAAATTCAAGAGAAATCTGCAAAAATAGCTCCAATTAAAGGGAAGCATTGTTCATAATCAACATATTCAATAAAGTCGAAGATAATCAAACTACGCAAATGGAGAAATAATCCCCAAAAATTCAAAGAACCAAAAATCAAACAATTCCTCCAATAACACTAATTATAAGGGGAAAACCCCATGATTAATTTCTTCAAAGTAGGAAAAAATACATCAGAATTACTCGATTTAAACTCATCTTTCTGACAAAAATCTGAACTTTCATTCTCCTTTGAATCATTCATCACAAACTCTTCAACCAAATCTTTAACAGATTTAGGTGACAATGGATGAAAATTCAAACCCCAATCAGAAACAAACCCTTTAACCAAACCCAATTTATCATCTGGGCTCAAATTCCTCCATTTGCTCATAACATCATCTGGGTTCATATCAAGGTAGTTGCAGAGGTCAGAGAAAAGCAGTTGTTTGCTTATCTTCATAGCATTTTCTCTCTCCTTTGACTGGGTATTTAGCTTATTGACTTCTGCAGCAAAGTCTGAAGCTAAGTCTGAATCACTGATTTTGTTGAGTTTATTTGGGTTGTTGTCTCCTTTGCTGAAACAGAGGAAGGTTTGAGATTGAGGGTAGAAGGAGAGAGAAAGAGGATTTGTTGAGGGTTTTAGAGGGTTTCTGAAATTGGGGAGAGGAAGAAAGGAAGGTGTTTTAATGGAGAAAGACATGATTTTTATTGATTTTTCGAAGGTTTCGAGTTTTTTCTTGAGTTTGGATTGTGATGAATGAGTGACTTGCTTAAATGGTGGTTATTATTGGGCTAATATGATAATGACATATTGACAACAATTTTTTTTTTTTACTGAGTCAATTAGGTTAGTTTCAAGCTGAATTTTAGGTAAAAAAAATTGAGCTTGAATTGGATTAAGCTGTTTCAATTGATAAAATCTTACTAGAGACT